TATATATATATATATATATTTAGTATATCTACAGTATAATATTTTCTATATAAACTATATTATAATTTAAATAATTCTACTAAATTAAATAGATGGATAAAAGAACTATAAATATATTAAATTATATTTTTTTAATTAATATATCTGCCTGGCTGTCTATCGATATGATGAATATGTATGTGCTACTAAACCCATTTCAGTTTGTTTGTATTTGTTTATTTGTTTGTAACAAAGAAGAATAAATAGAGAATAAATTAACCCTTTTTTTCCTTCTTTTCTTTTTCGGGTGTATTTGTTTGTTTATACACACAAAAAAAGTATAAGAAGGATATATTATGCATGCAAATTGGGGCTGCTGCATGCATGCATCTTTTTTTTTTTTTTTTTAATTTGCATGCATATATAAATTATATGCAATTTATATATGCATGCAAACTAAAGATGCATGCATGCAAGTTTTATTTGCATGCATATTTTGGGGCTGGTAGTATTTCTTCTTTTGCCTATATCTATATATGATGATATTTATATATCTCTCTCTCTATCTCTCTCTCTTTCTCTTTCTCTCTCTCTCTCCCTCGGCCGCTATCATCATCTTTATCTTTATCTTTATCATCATAACCACTTGAACTCAATTAAATAAAATTAAATTCAAGTCATCGGCGTTACTGCTGCTGAGAGGGTTAAGCAAGCAACGCGTACTTTCTCCTTGGCACGTTCTGTACTCTCTTTGTCTTCCTGAAACAAAAACACAACAGAAAAACACAAAACAAATATATATATATATATATATATATATATATATATATTATATATACATGTACTTATATATGTATATGCATACGCACATCTTACATACATGAGCATATAATAGATGCAGAGATATATACAGAATATATATGTTCATATAAACAAAATAGATGAATCCCTTGCTTGTGTTTCCTAATTTATTTATTTATATTTATTTATTTATATTTATTTATTTATATTTATTTATTTATTTATATTTATTTATTTATTTGTGTGTTTGTTTGCTTACCTAACTGTCATTTTTTTGCGTTGTGCAAGAGTGAGGCGTTGCCTGATGGCTCTGGTTTTTTTCATACGAAGATCTTTGGGTTTATATTTTTTTCCTTGGAAGAATTTTTTCGCTTCTTCTCTTCTTTTTTGATTATAAACAGTAAGAACACGAGCAATACTCTTACGTACTTGTGTTATTTTTGCAATACGAGAAGAAGCTGAGCCCGTTACCTTGGCTACTCTAAGCTGAGAAAGCTCTTTCTTAAGATCCTCCAGCTGTTTCTGCAGAGCCGCGGGGGCTTTCTGCCTCAGTTCGTGTGCTGCGATGCCAACCTGAACAAAAAAAAAATCAATAAAAAACACATATATATACTCTTTTATTTATCTATATATATTTAAATATATATCCCTAAGAAATAATACACNAAAAACACATATATATACTCTTTTATTTATCTATATATATTTAAATATATATCCCTAAGAAATAATACACGGATCGTGGGGGGGGGGTTCGGATTCTGCTTTATTCAATATGAATACAACAAGAAACACCAACCCCTCCTATTTCACGAATCATCAGCCACGACACACGTAATACCCTCAACAAACATAAACATATACAAATAAAGTAAAAGGGAGAGAAAGAGAAGAACAATAAGAAGAATACAAATATGAAACACCCACACAGGGCTCAACACAACGGGTGATGCGTATGAGGCTTCAATCGCCTAATGTCTACAAAACAAAGAACTGAATTGCAAGAAAAAAAGAAGATGAAAAGGAAATTCCTATATATGCTGTGGTGAGAGCTGAAACAAACAAATACGACTGCAGCAACTACTAACGGGCGGTGCAGCAGCACCCGCAGCAGCCTTAAACAGCAGGAAGGCGATAATAGGATGAAAAACTCTGTTGTTTATTACGAATATATATTATATCTTGGTGTATTGCACAGATTTCCATGAAGAAAGCTGGAAACAAATCCATGCCTTGTTGCATAGAAACCCATGCATATTTGTCTGTTGCTGCTGCTCACCATCTTTACGTGTGGGGTAGAACCGAGACGGGCTGAAGTTGAAAGATGAATTAAATGCCCTCTTTTTATTGCACAGCACAAAAGAAACGCCTATTCAGACGCTGCGCAAAATAAAAAAGAAGAAAAGCCGCAGCCCCACCACCGGAACCTACTGGCTTTGGTACCCCGCAGTGGAAGCCAATGGGTGTTGAGTGCAGAGAAAGCGCTGCCGTTCTTCAAGTCGGTGGCAGAAGATTTGTGTCAAAATATCCGCGAATATATTTAGAAAATCCATTTATATATTAAAAAGAATATAAAAAATAAAAACAAATCNAACGCCTCTCTCTCTACCAGCACAAGAAACCTTTCGGTGTCTTAACTATCAGAAACATGAATAAAGAGGATCTTTTGCTGCAAGTTCAAGTAGCACACTCTAACAAATTCCATTGACCAGACATTCTTAAATATAGAATTTATATTTAAAATTTCAGCATAGCTTTCACTGAAAATAAATAATTTGAATTGCTTTTCTGAGCTTGCTTCCGCTCCTCCAGCGCGAGCCTGAGAGCAGTCCCAAGCCGGGCGCATCTCCGCCTCTGTGGCGTCCGCAGCAGTTGGCTTTGATAGCATCGATCGATTGAATACGAGTGTTTATTAATTTGTATTTATTGTCCGGTTTTGTTTTTTTTCTCCTGGAATATGGGCGCTTTGTAATATAGGAGGAGGCAGGCACTACTGCAGCCTCATGGCACCACTATTAAAAGCGGGAGGGAAGGAACTGTGGCGGCTTTGCATGCAATTTATAGAGGCATTTTTAACCGTCTAATTCTCTTTATTTAATTCGTATTATCATCTCCCGCCCTCTCCATGCCGCATAAATGAGAGTTCTGCTGACCTTCGAGGTGCTCCTGCTGGGGGCAGCTCTTGGACCCGGGCGGCAAGCAGCGGCTGCTCCCCCCGCAAGCCCAACTCCTGATGAGCCTGAATCGCCATCACCTTTAGGGAATGGCGGTTTACCGAAGGATGGCGATGA